GTTACGAAACTGCTTCGCTCGGAATTTGCAAATAAAATATAACTGAATTCAATGTTTAATTTGTCTCGTTTATTTAATCGAGATGTACTAGCTTTAAATTATGCAAGGTATAAATGTAAGGTTTAATAAACTTCAAAAAAACTTCAAGTATGTAGCTGGCTTTTATGTCTCGGGTTTATGTCTCGTTTCACAATTGTATTGGGCACGTCTTCTCGCTTCCGCTGCTGATTCCAAAAGGACCGAATTCATGGTCGCCAAATTCTACCAAGCCTCGTAGTTCGTCATTAGTTACCAAAAATTACAGATTATCGATATATGCAAAGGTTACAAAATGACAGTATTGATATGTACATATATGTGGAAAGGAAATTGTACAGGGTGACTAACACCCCTCCCCCCGTGAATCTCCCCGAGATTCTGCAATTGTAAGCTTAGCTAAGCGCGTCGCTGGCCGTCGCAGTACACCTGTGATGGTCTTCACTTCGGCAACTCGTACTTGGCCGTCTTTCGTGGGGAATACTTTCGTAACACGCCCCCTCTGCCACTGGCTGCGTGGTTGTGCTGGATCGCATATGATCACCAGATCGTTTACCTTCAGTGGCGTTGTCTTCTCCTGCAACTTGGTGCGTTGTATAAGCTGCGGTAAATACTCAGTCGTCCAGCGTTTCCATAGGCGATCTTTAAGGTTTTCGATATTCGCCATTGTTTCCGTAAACATACCTTATCGTCAGCTGGATACGGTGTCTGCGTCGAGTTCACACATCCCAGCAAGAAGTGATTGGGCGTGAGTGGCTCGTCATCCTCATGTAATACTGGCACATCCGTTAGTGGTCGCGAATTTATTATATTTTCTGCTTCGATGAGGACACTTTGCAGGGTGCCCACCTTTGGCGCCACTTCTCGGAGCGTCTTAGCCAACAGCGATTTGACCACACGTATCAGTCGTTCCCAACAACCACCTGAGCTGGGATTCGCTGGGCAATTGAACACCCACTCGATGCTATGCTTCGCGGCTTCAGCTTGGATGCGATCTGTATCCAACAAACGTTCGCAGGACTTCAGCTCTTTTTGCGCGCCGATAAAATTGGTTCCATTGTCACTCTTTATCCTTACGGGAGTACCTCGGCGATTAACAAAATTGCGTAAACATAAAATGAAGGCGTCGGTGGATAGGTTCTCTGCCAATTCTATATGCGCAGCTCGGACTGTCAGGCACGTGAATATTACGCTCCACCTCTTCTCGTGACGTCTTCCTATGGAAACATTAAATGGCCCGAACAGATCCACACCCGTGAAAGTAAACGGACGCACAAACGGAGTAATGCGGTCGACGGGTAGTTGACCCATCATTGGTGGACTGGGCTGGGCCCTATCGATTTTACATACGAGGCACTTACGTTGTATTGCTTTTAGAAGAGTTTTTAGGCCCGGAATCCAATATTTTTGGCGTACCTCGTTGATTGTTATCGCGGAATTCTGGTGGTGGCTCTTCTCGTGGCAGTGCTGTACTATAAGGTCTGACCAAATGTGCTTTCGCGGCAATAAAATTGGTCGTCGTGCTTGAAATGGTAAATATGATGCCTCGTCGATGCGGCCGCTTAATCGTAATAAGCCATCCTCGTCTAAATACGGTGACAGTTTATACAGCGAGCTTTGCTTTGCTAACTTCCGCGCCGCTGTCAGATCTGCTATTTCGCTCGGGAAACTTTCTCGCTGTACGGATCGATTTATGATATATTCGGCCCTTTGTAACTCTGCTGCAGTGAGAATTGATGGTGGTTGTGACTTTGCATGTGGTTTCGCACGGAATAGAGTTGCTGCTCTTATGACCCAGGCTATGGTCCGTTTTAGCTTTGAAAATGAATTAAATTTCGAAAAGTCAATTAAGGTGTTGCTTGGCTGAACGAGAAGTAGGATGTCGGACTTCACTTCCTCTGGCAAAACGGATGCTGCGTTTACTGTTGTAGTAGGCCAATACTCCTCATCGAGCTTCAAAAATGCCGGACCTTTAACCCAGCAGCTATTGTTGTCAAACTTCGGCGTATTTGAAGAACGCGTGGCTACGTCTGCAGGATTGTGACAAGTCGGTACCCAGCGCCACTGTTCCTGGGCTGTCGTGCTGAGGATCTCTGCTATTCGGTGAGCAACGAATGCTCTATACTTCCGCTTTGACGAATTCAGCCATTGCAAAACCGTTTGGGAGTCGCTCCAAAAAATTACTCGCTCGGCTGTAAATTCAAGGCAGTCGCGTATCATTTTGGCTAGTCGTGCACCCAATACCGCTGCCTGTAGTTCTAGCCTTGGGACGGATAGTAGCTTCGCCGGTGCAGTGCGCGTCTTCCCTATTATGAAGCTGACGTCGATTTCGCTTCCGTGAACCACGCGAACGTACCCAGCTGCTGCGAACGCTACTTGACTTGCGTCGACGAAGATGTGTACTTCCACTCGCCCACCATCGAAAATGTACGGAGAATAACAGCGCTGCATCTTGAACTGCTGAACATTATGGAACTCTTGCCACCAGCGTACCCATTTCTTGCTTAGTTCCTGCGGCAAAACGTCATCCCAAGCGATTCTGTGTTTCCACGTCTCCTGAATTAAAATTTTAGTAAAAAGTAAATAGTCCGCCAACATACCGAACGGGTCAAAAACTGCCATTACGATTCGCAGTAGCTCTCTCTTCGTTGGTGCGCGTGTTCCGTCAAGTACCTCCTTTGGAACGCGATGAAATTTCGTGTGAAATTCGAACGTGTCATTGTTGGTGTTCCAGAATAGCCCGAGCACCTTGTCTGTTGTTTCACCACGTTCCATGCTGACTGCTTCTCTAACTGCTGGCGATGTTTGGTTCATGCTTTCTTCCACCCCGATGCAATTGGAAATGAAGTTCCGCAACTCGAATCCCGCTTTCATATGAATATGGACAATCTCGCGGCTGATCTTTACGGCTTGTTGTGGTGTGTCAAAACTGGCTACTAAGTCGTCGACGTAGTGCTTAGTGATAATTGCGGAGGCGGCGGCAGGAAACTCAGCTCGGAAATCTTCGGCGTTTTTATTTTTAACGTGCTCTGCTATACATGGTGAACACACAGCACCAAATATTAACGATGTCATCGCGTATTCCTCAATCGGTTGACTTGCATCTCCATCTCGCCATAGGTACCGTTGAGCGTGTTGATCAGATGGACGTATTCTGATCTGCGAAAACATTTCGCGTATGTCGGCTGACACTCCGACTCGCCCCTGGCGAAACTGTAATAATATCCGTATTAACGGCTGCGCTTGTTCTGGCCCCTTTAAAAGAGCTGAGTTCAGCGATACGTTGTCTACCATGGCTGCGGCATCAAAAACGATTCGCACTTTATCTGGCTTGTGGGGGTTAAGGACCGCGAAATGGGGCAAGTACCAAACGTGTTGATGTGTCGCGGCAAGTTCGACGCTACCCAACTTCCTGGCGTAACCCTTGTCTACGTATTTTGCCATCTCGTGCCTATATCGCTTACCAAACTCTACGTTGCATTTCATCTGTCTCTCAACAGACATCAGACGCCTTTCCGCCATCGCCCTGCTACTAGGTAGATTTGTTGGATACCCTTTCCACAGTAGACCGCATTCAAACTGGTCGCCGACTCGTCTGGTGGTCTGCTCCAGAATTAATCGCGCTCGTTCGTCTTCTTCTGATTCCAGTTTGAGGGATACCGGATTGGTACCGAAGCTGTCGGTTGCGAAATACTCCTCGACCAAGTTTTGTAGCTGTTGGTAGCCTTTGATGAGCATGACGCGAGGACTTACAGCCAACGGCGACTTAGTAGGGCCATACGCGACCCACCCTAATGGAGTTTTAATTGCTATTGGACTATCGATGCCAGCTTGCACTGCTGTAGACGTGGCACCCAAATAAGCGTGTTTCAGTCCAATCAACAAAACCGGTTTCGCAGCGTGGTAATTTATGAGCGGCAAGTGTTTCAAGTGCTCGAAGTCCTCCTTCTGCAAAGACTGCTCTGGCAAATTCAGTTCTTTCACAGTAAACACATCTTTCAATAAAAATTTGGTCATATCTAAGCGATTTTCGATTTCAATATTTAGTTTCAATGCTTGTTCGGTGACTACTTTGTCATCGTACCACTGAAGCGTTAGCGGACGTGCTTTACCCTTGGCACCGATTTGTTTGGCGACCTTTTCTTCCATTATCGATATTGATGAACCTTCATCAAACATCGCTAACACTTCTCGCTTTCCGTTGGGGCCATAAATGTTGACCGGTAACATCTTGAACAGTTGCCCGCAGGTGCTTTGTGTTAGGCGACAGTTTAATATGGGCTGCGCTGTCTCATTTGTTTGTGTAGCTTTAAGTACCGGTTGAGTTTTTGCTTCTTCACCATGTAGTAACGGATTGTGGTACCGTTGGCAGCCATTTACATTGCACCTTTTCCGAGATCGACATTTTAACGTACAATGTCCTTTTCGCAAGCACGAGAAGCAAAGTTGGAGCGTTTTCACCAGCTCCCATCGGTCTTGCACACCCATCTTCTTGAACTGTTCGCATTGGAAAACTGAATGATTGCCGCTGCAATTATAGCACTCTATTGCACGTTCTATGTGCATCAACCGCCGAGGGTTAGCTGTCGGCGCATTTACCCTTGTACTCGAGGTGCTTGCTGTAGGCATTAAGCAAGCTATTCGAGCCAACTCGCTAAGCCACTTTGAAAAATCTTCTACCGTCGGGTACGGCTGTATGGTCGCCGCCTGCCTTGCCCAATCAAATTGTCGCGCCTGAGGTAATTTACCCACCATTTGCTCCAATAAAGTAACATTTGCTAAGTGCTGCTGACACTTTGCCGACTTCAAGAATGCTACCACATTACGCACTCTTGAGGAGAATAAAACAATTTGGTCAGGCTTGGTCTCGGAGATTAGTGGAAACTGTTGTAATTTGCTAATTTGACATTTTACAAGCATGTCTGGCCTTCCAAATCTAAATTCGAGTTCGCTTAACACAGTTGGCACATCATTCGGGTAGATTAGCATTGATGCTACCGCCTCCTTTGCCGGACCCATGAGACACTTCTGTAGGCGCATCAAATTCTGCCTATTGCTATACTTAAAAATCGCTGTTGTATCGTCGAAGTTCGCACGAAACAGTGGCCACTCTTCCACATTGCCATTAAATGTCGGTAAGTCATATAACTTCACTCTCGCATCCGTAGCTGGCACGACCTGGCTGGCCTCCTCCTGTGGTGACATGACTTGTCTTGGCTCACTCTGTGCTGGCTGCACTTGTTCCACGACGCTTTGAGGTTGAATTTCTTCCCGTAAACGAATTATATCCCTCTGACTTTCCACTGTGCTGTTCCTTAACTCCTCCACTGAAGCCCTGAGTGCGTTTAACGTTGCAATTATGGCGTTCATGCTATCTGCACTGGCTCCCTCTTGTTGTCTTGACTCGTCCATGGAACTTTCAGCCGATGACTCTTCTTCGCTGCCGGTATGCGCCTTTTCTGGTACGCGCCTTCGCAAATCGTATTTGTGTGCTTTTTTCATGCACTCACCTTGGTGTGACCTTACCCACGTGTGTGCAAGCAAGAAGAACGTGCGAAAATTGTGAAAACTGTTACGAAACTGCTTCGCTCGGAATTTGCAAATAAAATATAACTGAA